AGGTTATTTCGAATAGACAGAAAAATTATTACAGTCAAGTCCTTATAATTTAATTCTTAATTCCATTTTCAAGGAGTAAATCATGAAAAAACGTTGATGACGTGACGGTCACCTGTCAAAATTATGTCCATGAGCTGATAGATAAAAAACTTTCAGCCAATCAGAAGACGTGTTACATCCAATATTAGATTATATATGTATGTTCTCATTTTGGTCTTAATGGCAATAACGGGTGCTATTGTTGAACAGAAGTATCACTTCATATACTTCCTTTATAAACATGTTGAATAGTTTTATTATACTGTACGCTAAATTTGCTATATTTTGATGGGTTAATTCGAGGGAGACATTTGACTCTATCCCATGGCTCAGTTGGAGACAATTTTGCAATATCACCCTCTCGTGTAGGCTTCCGGCCTTTTCGTAGACTGTCAACATAAAATATACATCTTGTTTCACCTATCTTATTTTTAAAGACTGTTGCATTGTTATGTATATGAAGTCATAGTAATTCATTATTACTTTCAATTCAAAATTTAAAAGACTCGATAATGACAGTTAAAGGAGACATGACACGATTTTCAATTTGTGTTTCAAAATGTTTATTTATACTTAACTTTCCCCAAAAATACATCGATAGCAATATAAGTGTCAACTATTTAGGAAAATATGTATTTTTATGAGATTTTAATGCAACGATTTATCGACCTGTCAAATATGCATATTTCCATCCCGAAAGTCACTCAGAACAAGGCTACTACGTCAGTGGTTACATTCATTCATATTGACATATGGGTACAGCACAAATTTAGTTTCGATTATTATCCAACAAAACGCATGACAGTGATAAACAATGATTATGTGTGATGCCGATGGATTCAACAATATAATTAAAAAGAATATTGACATGATATTTTCTGTTTTTTGAATGACACGCAGACTTAGAAGGTGTAAAGATGGGACTTTTTAACAAGCCCAAACTACACTTCTTTTCGCCCACTTTCATTAGGATTCCAGAGTTGGGGTCTCGGGTGCCATGCCATGAGTTCATCATAGGTCACAGGTGTACGGTACAGATGATTGAGTTTCGCAATATCATGTCTCGTTCAAGTTGAAGTTGCAAACTTCAAGTGTTACTCCACATGGGGGATTGATAAAGACATATATAGTGATTACGCAATATTACTTCATAATCTCTTTGTGTACATCCTGGATGTTGGTTTTGCCGAGGGCACAGGTGAGATTGGAATATATTATTGTTGTGTACAGAAAACAGGTACAACTACCTGATCATATATGTTTAATGAATACAATACCCTATATGCACCACCAATTAAATACCCTAACCCGTGTTGATAACTAATATACAACCTGTATATAGATCTTATTTTTATTGCTTTTAAGAATATGCAGATATAAAAAGGTTTATAACAGGTGAATTTTTTAATTGACTTCTTGAGATGGAAAAGTAATATTCTTGTATGCTTGCAAGTCTATAACTTCATAAGAAATTGTTAGACATAAAGCATAAAAAGCAAACTAGGAAATGATACGAGAATGTGAATCATAAGTCTTTTACATTCTTTTTCTGACACATTCCCTATTTCCATTCTCAATTTTATTAATATTGAACATCGAATATAATTATTGACAACTATTTAGTTGGTAAAGATTCAGATGATGAAAAACATTTCTTTTTAAAATGGTAACTTTATAATAAATGAAGAAAGTGTCGTTTACCGTACGGCCTCCAATAATGAGAAAACCCCATACCGTATATTCGGCTATAAAAGTTCTGAACGTGAAAATGTGAAACAATTTTAACGAGAAAACCAACTTAGATAACAAAATAATTTCCGTAGAAAAAAATTGACAGACATGAATCAACAACAACTGATCTATATGCTCCTGATTTAAGACAGGCACATTCAAAATGTGTCGATGGTATATGTTTGTGAGCGCCTACGGTACCCTCTCCCCATCCCAACGTGTGACAGTGGTCTTACAGCAGTACATAAGAACAATGAAAACCAGTCTAACGCAAAAGATCGGTACGAAGTAGAGAAACCACTAACGTTAAAACAATAGAGACAACACACAAACACTGTTAGCTAGATCAAAGCCAAGTACAGCTAATACACAACTCATGTTCTCGAAGACTGAAATATGTTACATGTAAGCATTTTCCTGCTCAGTCCGATTGAAAATCCAACATTTATTCAAATGACCCTTTTTAGAAAAAATATTTTGAAAAAGAACATTTTGTGTTGAGAATATTTTCCTTAACTCAAGCGTTTTGCTGGTAGCAATAAACAAATTGATTGCTAAATGATATTTGGAAGAGAGGGGTGGAAATAAGTGAATTTGAATTTACTTTGTGTAATTCCTTAAATTTGAAGTTAGATTTAAAAGGGTCTGGATGGAATAGCATACTTTAGAAGTGTAGTATAACTATATTAATTATTTCAACATAAGATAGTTTTTCTTAGAAATGTATGATTTTTAAAGGTAAATAACATAACACGTGACTAAATCACACTACAGGTGCCTTCTTACCTCTCGCCTGGTCATGTATGCTATAGGTGTCAACATTTAATCACTAAAACAACAGCCTCCAATAAATGTTTTGTATTGTGTAATTTTATACATTAGGATAGACGTAAATAAAATATAAAATTGAATTGTTTACATAAAAGGGGGAAAGTAATAAAATTGTTAATTGAATATCCTAATGCAGAAATAGTGTGATAACGGATTTTTCACTATACAAATCCTTTGTGTGATGTATGGTTTCCAACCAAAAAAATTATAAGCATAACTTTTGGTGATAATTTATACCTATTAAAAGTCTCTATGTAATAATAAAAAATAAAAACGGACACTTTGCGAACGCCTAATTTGACTTTTACTATCTTTTTTTTTCTGCTTCTGGCGCACACATAATTATAACATTACCGTAACAGAGAGAAAAAAAGAACAATTTGATCATCAATAATTAGAAATTTATATTTTCAATCATGATTAAAAAGTAGTTTTATTTAAATGAAAAAATGCAGAAAGCGGTCTATTAAATTTATTCACCAGACAAACCAAATATGTATGGTAACAATCCGATCGGTATTGTCTGAAAAATCGTCGTTTTTGGACTCTTAGCATGAAGAATTAATATCCTTTTCTTGGTTATTTTTCACACATAATGTCTTTATAGTTTGTCAGTAATCTGGAAAAGTGCTGTCAATACCGTCCATAGTATATCGAAATCGTCCAGTTAAGAGACATTTTCCCAGCTTGTAACCACTGACGTAAGCACGATCACGTGATCGTTATCTAATTAAAAATCATTCTTAATGACAAGCGCTTGATTCTTTGACCAGAAAAATGCTGATTTATCAGGTTTTGACCAGCAAAATTGTACAAAACATGTTTTAAGACTAATATTTATTAATTTAATAAAAAAAATTTTTTTTTTTAAAATCGTGTCATGTCTCCTTTAATGAATTAAATACTACATGGTAACTGAGTCAGAATGGGGTTACAGAATAGAGAATAATGGGCAAAAAGTTCAGAACAAAGAGCAACACAAGTAAAGAATAAAGAAATATACACCAAACAAATTAAAAAGAAAAGAGAATAATGGGGTGCTAAAATATAAAGAAGATAGAATAATGGGCAAGATGGATATAGATACTACCGAAAATGGTCTAAAATTAAAGAATAAAAAAATGAATGACCCCATCCATACCCTCATTACTGGGAGGTAGACATTATATATATAACACATAGCTTAGAGGGTGATATAACAGATTGTTTCCCCGAGAAAACATTGTCAACTGAGGCGAAAGGTAATAGAGTATTTGCCATGGGATAGAGTAAATTGTCTCCCTCGTATTAACTAATCAAAATCTGATATTTTGACATGAAGTATAATAAATCAGATTGTTACCCCTCTAATCTGCTCTATAACCCTCTCAGCGATGTGTTATTCATATAATTTTACGGTGTGACAACCAAATTTTTATGTCATTTTTGTCCAATTTAGTCAATACATTTTATGTTTATCTATGGCAAGCTAGCCGTTTTACTATTTATTCTAAATTCAAGATATCTCATCATGCTCATGTAACATATAAAATATCTCATATAATATATAAGATATCTCATATAATATATAAGATATCTCATATAATATATAAGATATATTATATAATCTAGTTCTTATAAGATAACTTATAAACTTTATAAGATAACTTATAACTTTATAAGAAACAGAACCTACATCGTTAGGTTGATTTTCTAGGCACTATACATATTCTAACGCCTGGTATTTCTTAATCACAAGAAATCCAATGGACAAGGTATAATTTGCAGTTGTCACTACACATAGGCAGACATATAATATAGGATATCTCATATAGTTTATAAGATATCTTATAAAGTATAAAAGATATCTTATAAATATTTTTATATAAGATATTTTATAAATATTTTTATATAAGATATTTTATAAATATTTTTATATAAGATATTTTATAAATATTTTTATAGATGATATTTTATAAATATTTTTTATATAATATATCTAATATTCTTTATATTTTTAAGATATCTCATATATTTTATATGAAAATATCTTTAATCGTTTATAAGTTTTATAAACTATATAAGATATTCAGTAAACTATATAAGAAATCTTATAGACTATATGAGATATCGTATAAAGTTTATTAGATATCTTGAAGTTAAAATAATAGTAAAACGGCTTTCCATATTTATCGCACATTTGTCATTTCATTGATTGTTTACAAGTGTCTCGATAATAGTTTATGATCCAAGTTCAGAATTGAAGTATGTGTTTTATGTTGTTCCTATTATTAGGAACGGGGTAAATTTTCTTGGCTTTTTTAGAATAAAATTAGAAAATACTATACTTTGAAAACTTGAAAAAAGAATAACATCTCAATATCCTTAGCGACTAGTATTCTTAAAATTACTTCAATCAGTGTTGTCAAGAGGCCGCAGAGAATGGTTGTAGCAACGGTTTACTTCCGGTCTCTTGTTTTTTCTCAGCTTTCAGATTGACTGTCAACAAACAGGTACAACTGCGTCAAAACACTGTTGAATGCTTCATTAATCTTAACATATATTTAGACAATACTAAGGTTTTTTTAAGAACTTCAGAGAGCAGTCATAACTCCAATTCAAACTGTGACAGGTGCCCTCGTAGTCAGTCGACTCGTACAGATGACAACAAAACCTTCACATGTTCACGCCATCTATACCCATCATAGCCACTTTGAAAACGGTAGCATGAAGAATGTTTCAATTATTGGCTGCAATATTTTTATTGTTTTCTTTGTTGGGGGAAATATAAGAAATTAACATAACATATGGACTTGTTTGGTTGCCTATTAATTCATTAGATTGGTCATCAAGCAAAATTGAGATCTCTTATGGGGTAAACAGTGTCCTAACACCTGTCTGGCCTTTTATCCTTCCGAACTGCAATTAAACATACATGCCAACCCTGCTAATATACGTTGTAGACTACTGATTATTAATTGTAGTTACCGCCAAAAATTTCTCCTGGGTAAAACCATGAAAACATGTCATTTCATAATCTGTAAGTACAGGTGTTTTTGAAGGCCTCAGATTGCACCAATTTGCATCGACTAAAAAATATTAGGGGGAGGGGCTTACCCCCTCTACTATTTTCGATCAGAAAGGGTTGGCATGTAAAGAATAACCGTTGCAGATCCAGGATTTTGAAAAGGGAGGGAAGGGGGGGTTGTCTACCAATGAATCGTTAGCAGTGGGAATTGCAAAAAAGTCTTTTCATTAACCATATACATGATATATGTCAGGGCTCATGCTAGCAGGCGACTGGGGCAACAAAGTTGCTTTCCCGTCCGCCACTTCGCTTTGCCCAACCGTCAAAAGTGAAATCTAGTCGCCCTGTTGTTCACGATACTCGCTTTCAGTTAACGTTGCTTTCGTCATCGGCAATATTCAACATTTACCTAGTCGAAGAAACAGCATTATATTGCATTAAAACGTCATAAATTTTTGAGTAAATTATTGTTCAACTACGGATCGGAGTCAGGATTTCATGGGAAACGGACCAGCTATTACTGAAATCCGGATTCTTTGGATAATGTCTACGGACGCATGACAGCAGACAGAAGAAAATTGATCCCAAAAGGAAAAATTACGCATTCCACAAGCATTAACATACTTTTGGTTAGATGTTCTTGATTAATATATAAATATATTTCCATGTATATGCATTGTTTCAATTTATAAATTAAAGTTACTCAACTCTGGGACTATGACACTAATTTAATTATATTATGTCCAAGCTTAACTTATCAAATAAACCGGTAAAAATTAATATCTTTTTAATGAGAAATATTTAATTTCATAAACATGATAACAGAGTAGTTTTTAATTGAATTTTAATTGATATAATAACTTTCTTTTCCTTTTTGATATAAACAAAATCTTTTTTATTATTGCCAGATATTTAATTGTTTTTTTCTGACAAGAGGAATATAATTGTGCAACTAGATATGATAAAATTAAACAAATTTGAATTTGAGCTGTTACTTTAATTGTATACCCAGGTACAAATTGAACAATATAAAAAAAATAAGATACATATGGCTCTTTGTATTATAGTAAAAACCAAACATTGTAGCGCCGCGAGCGAACGAGCACTTCTCTTTCAAATCTCACCACTTCTCCCTCTCAGTTTCAAAAAGAGAAGTCACTTCTCCCTATGATTCTGAAGTAGTGTGAGCCCTGTATGTAGCTTTTCAACATGTACAAGGGTGCCTGCCCCCTAAATCTGTTTCTCATTACACTAGCAACTAGTAGCAAGTCACTAACAAGATTAAAAAGTTAGCTGAGAGATGACAAAAAAAATAAAAATTAGTAGACTTATATAATTCTATATAAAAGATCCACTGTCTTGTACGCATTCCAATATGTCCAACACATGTTCTTTGGCATACCAATAATAGAACAAGACAAAACCATCCACAGTCATACTGACATACTTGAACGTCCAAAGACACTTAAATTTGTCTTGCTTCCTTGCACAATCATACAATGGAACTTACTACATCAGACTATCATTGAAACCACTTCTGTTGACAGCTTCATGCAGTCATATCAGCTCACTACAGCTGTTTTCTCCTCAACTTTAAATAACTGCACTCAAACCAAAACATCTGTATAAAAGTATTATTTAGAAATTAAGCCATGTGCACTTACCCAATTAATTTACCATTTCCAAAGATAATTAGAATACATTATTTCTCTGTAGGAACTGTGCAGTGATTTAAAGTCTACTTGTATCCAAGTTGATTCCAACAACTGAAAGGGACTGACTTGAGCTTGAAATATCAGGGATCTCCATGACCTGTTTTATGATTGTGGACAGACAGACGTAAAATTATCTTCTGCCATCACTAAATTATCTTCTGTCATCGTCAAATGATCCACCCCATTGTTAATTGAATTGATCTCCACCATTGTTAAATATTTCTGCACTATGATTGAAAGGTGTACATGTGTAGTTAAAATTTTTTTTCATTTTTCTATCAGCCACCATTTTTGATAGCAATTATAATCAATATACAGGGGTGATTGACAGTGAGAAAAATGATCCCCATTTTTATGTCCTAACAAAATGATCAAAATAGCGAGAAGTTAAGACTCTGGGAAACTTCTGACAGGAAAAAACTTTGACTTTAACTAGGTTAACAGGACATCTGAATTGTGGTTATCCTTGACTAAGAGAAGCCATATGCATACAGGCTTGACATTGGAATTGTTACAAATGACAATTAAGGAAAATAATGTTAATTCTTTAATAAAATAAATATAATATACAATATATAAGTCTTTTCACTATTCCTTAGAATTAAATATAGGAATAAATATTTTCTATCATGACCTGCATGGTTTTGTCCTGGTGAGAGCCTCCCCCATCGTTAAATTTTCATCCATGGAGATCTCTGATATTAATGTATGTTATAAACACTTGTCTGTCATTGAAGATTAGATGACTTGATTTCTATAGTTATATAGTATATGTATCTTTTTAGCTTTTATTGTGTTTTTGGCTGAACATTGCTGTCTCTTTGACATATATGATATATCTGACATCTCTTTTTGGTTTTGTAGTATTCATGGTATTCAACTAGAGCCAATTTACGTTGGATGAAAAAAGGAATACATAATTTTAAATATTGTAAAGTTATATGTTTGTAATTACAGATTTAACCATGGCAACAGAAATTGATATGATTACTAAAAAACCTAGGACTGCAAGAGATCCTTACACAACACTAACAGATACACAGATCACTAATCTAAAAAAGGTAAAACAATTATTTTGAATATGAAAAATATGTTAAGAATGACCTATAATATTTACACGAATACTTATGAATATAAATGTTTATTATACTGTTGTAACTTCCAGTTAAATATTTGTAAGGCATTTAAAAAAGAGAGGTGAAAGGGACATGCAAACTCATAAGTCTAAAACAAAAAACAAAAAAATGACCGAAAGACAATCAATTTTGATTTTTATATAGAAAACACAACATAGAAAACTAAAGACTAAGCAACGTGAACCCCACTAAAAACCGGAGGTGATCTCAGGTGCTCTGGAAGCTTTAGCAGATCATCTAGTAAACTTATAACGGCAATTATAGTAAGGTGGATCTACTTGCATCAGCTGACTTTACCATAGGTTTTGCCAGTACCAACTTAGCCTGGCATCCTTTTTGAGCAATTTTTTTTTTATACAAATGATTTTTCAAACCTGTTCTTCATAAAATTAATAGAAATGATTTACTGCAAGAAATTGGTTAACACAAGCATGATTTTAATAGTAATTCTCTCAAAGAATGAAAACAACACGTCATAAGTTTCATGTGTCCTATTCAGGTGCTAATTTCTTGATTTACAATGTACCTTTGTCAGAAACGCTCATAGCTAAAAAGCTTTTATAGGATATTGTTGACATATATTTACAATCTTTGGTTGAAAGTCATACATTTTTACATCTTGCACAACTTCCATTGGGGATATAACAAATGGCTTTATCTGCCATTCTTTACATTACAATACAACGTTGTTTATGTGATATAACATTAATAAAATAATTGATTTTATTTTTAATAGTCATTTATTAATCTAGTTCATGTTGTTTGGACCTAAATCCAACTAAGGTAGAACTTTATTTACATAAATTATGCTACAAAATCTCAAGATGTTCTATTTTATACAAAGTAAACATTTATAAAAATGTATTGTCTTGATATCTTAACTATTTTGAAAGATGTAACGTCTTTTGTATTTTTGTGTCATTGGGTACAGTGTCTCATTGAAATATACCCCACATTTCCTTTTATTCATATTATTTTTTATTGGCAGGTCAACTATAGGCGAACATTCAATATTTCAATTTAAGTTTGAACTATCTTTGGCATGTTGCTTTTGTACATATAAGAGGGTCTGGATGGTGGTCTTTCATTTCTGTATTCTTTATATTTTTTGTCCATTTTTCTCTTTTCTTTATATTTAAGCACCCCTGGCTCATTATTCTCTATTCTTTGTTTTTTGGCCTATTCTTTATTTTTTTGGCCAATTTTCTCTGTTCTTTATTTTTTGGTCCATTTTCTGTAAATTTGGTCCAATTTGTTCCATATTCTGTAAACCCCATGCAGACTCTCAAATAATGAATTCTTTTTATAGGATCCATCAGCATTTTTCATGTTTAGTAAACCCGAGAAGCCATATCCAGAAAAGGGATGGACTTTGGACCGGTATGCCACATGTACCAATGAGCATTTGTTTAGAGGTCACCTGACACAACCACATTGCTGGATTGACACACAGTGGCAAAGAGATCCAGCAAAAGACCACAATAATAGTATATTAGGGGCATCACAAAGATGGGGACCTGATAAAGTAGGTTAGTGATGTATCAAGTGGGTTAGTGATGTATAAAGTGGGTTAGTGATGTATAAAGTAGGTTAGTGATGTATAAAGTAGGTTAGTGATATATAAAGTAGGTTAGTGATATATAAAGTAGGTTAGTGATGTATAAAGTGGGTTAGTGATATATGAAGTAGGTTAGTGATGTATAAAGTAGGCTAGTGATATATAAAGTGGGTTAGTGATGTATAAAGTAGGTTAGTGATATATAAAGTAGGTTAGTGATATATAAAGTAGGTTAGTGATGTATAAAGTGGGTTAGTGATGTATAAAGTAGGTTAGTGATGTATAAAGTGGGTTAGTGATGTATAAAGTAGGTTAGTGATGTATAAAGTGGGTTAGTGATATATAAAGTGGGTTAGTGATGTATAAAGTGGGTTAGTGATATTTAAAGTGGGTTAGTGATATATAAAGTGGGTTAGTGATGTATAAAGTGGGTTAGTGATGTACATGTACTATAAGAGGGTATGAATGCCCTTTATCGTCGGCTACTGTCAACGTCAAATATGTTAAAATTTAATTGTGATTCGTCAAAATATCCTTATCATGATTCGTTACATGTCTCAAATAATCATACGTTACCGTTATTTCTGGAAATAACCTATTGCTATTTGTCAAAATCTGTTGATTTTTTTATTGTCATCAAGAAAATGTACATTTTATCGTCATGCACCATAAATGACTGTTAGCATTCATTTGGCAAGATTTTTTACCATTATTCATCATGAAGGTACCCCCATTATAACCCTCCTATAATAAGTATCAAGAATGATATTGTGCAAAGTTAAACATTATGGACTACAAGTTTTATCGATATTACTATAATAGAAAGTGTCTGCCAAGCAAATCACATTGTTCACCTCAACTTCAAAAAGTTCCAGACCAAAAATTAAATATTCTTTGATACAGAATCCAAATCAATATATGTAACAAAAATATCAGAGGAATGAATTTATGAATTAAATTACAGACAGACTAATAGACAAACATTAATTATAGTGATATTTTGTTTTATTTGAAAAAAAAATTAGTTGCATAACTTATGTTTTTCAGGAGTGAGAACTGTTCAACATTTTAACAGACCAGAGGATCCAAATAGATTTGTCAATACAGAGCTATACAGACGACAAAATACAAACAGACCAGGAACAGTTCACATGAAACATGGTCGACCAGGGGAGGGGTACTATTTAATGAGGAATCCAAGTAAGTATTGCCATCCTGAAAATATTGTGGATTAATTTATTTTTGTGGGTACTAATTTTCATGGATTGAGCAAAAATTGTATTTGCCTGGATATTTAATTTGTGGTTTTGGCAAAGTTTGCACATACGTCTGTGTACTTTGTGGAACAGTTCTATTCATGGCTTACCCATACCCACGAAATACATGAAAATTGTTATCCCAGGAATGAAAATGAATCCACATTGACTTGATAGGGCAAACAAAAATGATGACTTCGTTTATGAGCTTTCCATCCTACTCATATTTTAATGTCTACCCAGAACCTTTTTCTATTATTTTGGGGTCATATTGTTTTGTGTATGTCCAGATTGTAGGATATGACTATAGCATATACCTTTGAAAAATAAAAATAAAGAAATAAAAATTAAAGTAAGTTTGAATAAAATTGAGAATGGAAATGGGGAATGTGTCAAAGAGACAACAACCCGACCATAGAACAGACAACAGCAGAAGGTCACCAACAGGTCTTCAATGTAGCGAGAAATTCCCGCACCCGGAGGCGTCCTTCAGCTGGCCCCTAAACAAACATATATACTACAATGTTTCACATTTTATATGTCAGGGATTTTATAGCCGACTTTAAAGTATGGCTACTTCTCATTGTTGAAGGCCGTACAGTTGCCTATAATTGCTTACATAAACTTCATTAGAACTCTGATGGAAAGTTGTCTCATTGGCAATCATACCACATCTCTTTACTTTTATATTAAGTAACCTTATTTTTCCTACAATCATATGCTGTTTGTAACAAATTAATGTAAGTCTATAGAGCTCTACAACTGTTCAGTTCTTGTACAATCTTGGTTTTCAAATATGTAACATTATGAAGAAACCAGAAAAGTTTTCCTAACAGGAAGTAAAACAGAGCAGTGTCAGATCTTTTATATGCAAAGTGGTCACATGATCTGTATTTTAAGTGCCAGTCTTTGTAAGAATCAGGCAATTTTGAAAAAAATCAAAACATGGCCGAAAAAAACCCACCGACCTAACCATCCTATTTTGAAGTTACCCTCATCCTGAGTTAGAAATGGTAGGTCTTTCGTTTCTGCCTGTCTGGTAATTCGAGAAATCTCTAGATACATTTTGGTTAGAATGATAGCAAATTACGGAGTTAGCTCCCCTTAATTTTTCATTTCTAGTGCATTTCAACCAAATTATATCTTGAATTACCAGAACAGGACAAGGAAACGAATGTTATATTCATGCACCATTATACATTTTGAACAAAAATTAATGTCAACCTAAGTGGGTTTTTGTTTGTCATGTTTTCACCACTGCCTGATTCTTAGGCAGATTGGCACTTTAAAATTAGATTGCCAAAATAAGGCACATCTAACACTCTGTCCATTACCATAAATTATGCACTGGTATCATATGGAATCTGAAAATGAGGCAGGTAGGGGAGGCAACAAGTTTAAAGAGAATCTGTCTATATTGGTAAATAAAAGTAAACTGAATGATGTTTTTTGGTTATTTTTGTTGATTGTAACATACTCTCTTTGAAGTTTACCCCACATCTCCATTTATTCATTTGTAAAACATTTTGATTAAAGATGTCTTTATATAGATGGTTGAATATGAAAACTTAAAACATGAAAATTGTGACAGGTAGGGTTAGAATAAATATTATTAGCTAGGCTTAAATTGTAATATTTGAATGCATGATTAAATAAATTCACAATATTAAGGTGCATGATCACAGCTTTTTCAGACAGATGCTATTTAAAATCACTGAAGTATTATGTTATTACATAATATTAAGTTATTTGTTTATAAATTATTCATTTTACATATTTAATAGACATTAATTTTCTGTTCAGTTTTCATAGGAAAGATCTTACAGAGAAGGTATTTCAAGTCACAATAAAAATGCTTCAAAGCTTTAATTTACAGTTTTTTTTTTAAAATAGTTTTTGTAATAAATTGAAGAAATATTACTATCGTTAGCACATCAGGAAATCACCATGCCAAAATATCTATGATTAAGAATAGATTTATGAAAGCACTGCACAAATTAATAAGTATATGCATTTGTGCATGTTTTATATGATAATTTAATTCATTATTAATATCTGTATGGAATTAATTTATGATGTGCCAATTGGTATTTCTTGAACAACAGAAAACTGTAAACAATCTGACATACCGACATCACACATAAATTATTTAGGATTTGATAATCAGCACTGCTGTCATTAGGGAATTGTGATTAAGTATCTACGGAACAAACATTATTTCTAGTTTATCCTGCATAATGACGATCACGAAGATGCTTGATGAACTTTAATAGTGCAGGAATACAGGCAATCCCATCTCTGGTAAATGACGTCATAAAGGTGCGCATAATTGACAAACTTTTCCGGCGAAGGACATAACTCAAAAGTAGTCTATTTAATTAGGTGCCAAAAAAAAGTTGGTTGAAAATATGAATGGCTTATACAGTAACAATTTGCAACCATGAATGTCTTACACATGTGAATCACAATTACCAATTATGAATCACAAATTCCATTGAATCACTTATGCCATTAAATCAATAATGCCATTTAATAACAAATGTCCTTGACTATTCTTTGCAGATTCCCAGACATGGTTTGGTTCCACAGTTCCACTAAACAGAACGGGTATATTACAGGACATTAGACCTAAAACAATTGGTGAATATGAAGCAATACAGAATCAACACAAATCTGAAGTGTTACAAAGGAAAGGAAAATATCCAGCGTACTCAGAATATACTGACAGGATTGGTTTGAAAACTAGATTACAGCCGATTATGACAACGTAAGTATAAAGGTCACGTAATCAAGCTATAATGTTTGTACTGTGTAATAATGATCCCTCTAAAAGTTTGTTAAAACAATTGAATGCTCAAATGACAATTTTACTTGTGGTCAAAATTAATTAGTTATTGTTTTACATTAATTAGGTTATCTGAAACAAGCTGCAGTTTAAAAGTGACATTAAAATTTATTAATTGACTTAGTATTCACTTTTTAAACTCCAAAATAGCAGATCATCCTCTGAGGAATTTTCAAGGGGAAGATTTGACATAGAATCTATTTCAGGTAGTTTTTTTTACTTAGATTATTTTAAATATTATTTTGCAATAATTTGTCAGTATTAACAAGAATATTTACTACTTTAAATTAAATATCATGGTGAAAGAGAAAGATTTTTTCTTGGAAGTGTGAGATTTAACCTCCTTGTCAGGAGAGTGAGGAGACTGAATGAAAAACATGATTTGGATTGGCATCAGCTAGTGTAAAATGATCAGAGCAACATGATTATTAAAATGGATATATACTAGTTTTACTTCATGGAAATTCAAGTTATCTCCCTTGAATGATTTAACATCAGCTCCCCTTGAGTCAAACTTCTGTTTACTAGACATTTTATCATTGTCCTGTTAGTTTCGAGATAATGAAAGTCAATGCAACTGTATTACCATTTAAAACAATATTATACAGACATTCTATTAAATGAAAAACTAAATAAAATTTTTTTTTTAGAAATTAAAGTACATTTTTGTTAGATCATATATGATTGACTAAGTTTGACAAATATCTTAAAATCTTTTTTTTTTTAAAGTATATCCTGTTAATGCAGAAGCCATAAAATCTAGAAATGAATTGATTTTTTTTTAATGCAAGATCTTACCAGCTGATAGTTGAGCAAAAAGCTAGATGCAAATCAAGAAAGTTTTTTTTTTTCAATTTGTATCAGTACATGTATCTCCTCATAAACTTAATACTATTTTTATAATCATGTCATACAGGGATCCTTTCACACCAGAATTGTTTATCAGGTAAAGTCAGCACAATAGCAAGCTTTGTGTGTATTTTATTTTGAGCAATGCAATATATGATTACCTTAGAAATGAATTTTGAAAATTCCGGCTATGAGCTAGAATATTATTGAATTTGGAAATTTGAGAATTTCTATTCTTTCCAATGATTTATAACAAACCGAACCTTTCTTAAATTCTCTTGTGATAAATTCAGAAATTATTAAGGCTACTTAACTTCCTCAGGCAAAGTTGACCATAAGATGGATTTTGCTATTCTTTTTAGACCCCTTTTGGTCAAATAACTCCTCATGTATCCAGGTTAATTTATCAATTCTTGGCTTTTAGATTTTTGGGTTCGAGGTTTCCGGATAAAGGTTATTCTAGAGGAGTGCTTTAGACACACCAAATTGAAAAATTTATGGTGAAAAAAGAAAGCATGAAACAGTTACTTTTTGAATTCCTCAACTGAAATTAATAAAGTGTTAACTTATTTTTATACGATTGGTCAATTTTATTTTTATCTTATGAAGAAAATATTTTGAACAATATCAGATGTTGAAACCAAAATTGTGCAGCTGGAAATTAAAGTAAATGTGAGGTAATGTAACCAGTAAACAAGTTGTTATACCGCAGCAATATAGATTTAAATAGATTCCACCACTGCCTCAAGTGTGTTACGATATTTCTCCACTCGAAGATAAAATTTTTAATTTAAATCGTGAGGCATGCCGAGCTTTTTAAATATTTAAGACTTAACTGTTGAGAGTTGTAATATCGTAACACACTTGATATAGTGGTGGAATCTGTTTCTCAAATGACGTCACAATAGGGAATTCAGAAGATTTAATCAAGAAAATTGGACATCATAATTGAAATTTCAACCAATCATTTGCAGAGAACAAAGTTTTCTCCAGAGAAGAGAAATATTTTTCTCACACTGATCGAGATGTGAAAATAGCATGAAATTCGAGAAAAAGATCTAACAAATGTTTGAATAGCCACTGGTAATGGCACAAAGATCACTTTATTTTTTGCTTTTAAATTGCACTTTGTTTTGAATATTTGCATTTTTTTCCACAAAACTGCTTGTTATATTCATATTATTATATTTGCATATGTACAGCTGAATATTGGTAAAAACACATGTACTTTTATCTTAAACGCTTCCTCTTAAAAACTGTACAACTTAAAAAAATTTGAAAAAAAGAATTATTCATTTCTTATAATATTATAGTAAGGATAAGAATAAGAAATTTTAAAAGACTTATATAAAACTTTTTCTTTTGTTTTGTTTTGAATATGTCATACATTTGCAGCCATAGATGTTTTGATTTATTGTGAAATGAAACATTTCAACACCATGTGATTGTTATTTCTGTCAATCAAATTTTTATTAAAGTACTAATTAAATTCTGATGAAGCATCTATGTAACTTTATTATTGGCAAACATAATGGAGACCTTTCTTGTTGCCACTGAAGCAGTAAACCAAATTATCGTTTGTAGTAAATAAAATGCACAAGTAAATTTAAATAACTCAACAATTTCAGTTTTATGATTTTATAAAAGCATAGGTTTTCACAGGACATTAATCAAATTTAAAAGTATAGTACATAGTCATAAACATTGTTCATAAAAATATTCAAAAGTTATAGCTAGATTTCAAGGTGTTTTGTAATAATTTAATTTGTAGAAATTTGAAAATTCATTATATTGAACATTAAAGGCCTTTTTATGACCCCGCGGTTAACCCTTGTATGTCCGCAAAATTGGTTTAAGTTCTCTAACTTAAGTTTGCCTCAACCAAATGTTATGAAACTTGTACACAATGCTTCCTACCACAAGTCAGATCAAGTTAAAATTTTGGTAGCATCACTTTTACCGTTCTGGAGTTATGCCCCTTTATACACTATATGCAAGTGCAGGTATCATTTGTGTCCCATGGACACATTCTCCATTTGTTTAGTCATTCATTCCACATTAATGATTTCATATACTGTAATTAGTTAAAAATCCTAATAAATAATTTCTAAAAAAAATTATGTTGTCACATAAGAAGCTAACAGGAAATATTTGCAGCTATGTTTTTAAATAAAACTGTGCCAGATTTTTGAAGGAGAGGCCACCAGTTCAACTGCTTAAGGCAGGATTATGCCGGTATCAAGTGTTGTATTAAAAACTTTTCAGATACCAACCCATAATTTTAAGTCTACTTTAATCAAAAACTCAAATCGTTCATGTTAATTTTACAAACTGGTTAAGTGATAGTCTAGTAAAATTTTTTCACATAAATTGAAAGTTATCTTACATAGGCATCTATAGTTTACCGTTCTTCAAATTTCTTATATCTATTAAGAAGAGATAAATCACGGTAACAAAGAAAAAAACACATGAACTCCAAAAGGAGCAAGACTGAGTATGACAGGGAAAGAAACTCCTGCTATGGATGCATCACTCGCCATGTGAATCTACATTGAAGTTAAAATGTCACTAGTTAAATAGGACACAATTCTTAAAACATCAGGTCAAATCCTTATCAAAATCTAATTTAGATTACATCTATCAAATTAGAAAAAAAACTCTGTGCAAATTTTTCTATTCAAATTGAAAGTATTAAAAGATGGAAATCTACCATATTTATTAAAATATACATGTAATTCAATTTAGATCAATTCGTGTATCAGGTCAGGTTATTCACTCAGTATTTGCAGTACTAAAGAATGAACAATGAGTATCCGGTTCTCATCCTGAACAAGCATTAAATACTTGCCACTGGACATTTAGCAATCAACAATCAATCAATGATTATCCTGTTTAATTTGAATCGAAAGCAGGATGATATAACTCTCTCACAACTTTTATTTATATTAAAACAATTTCATATAATTTCAGACGACAACGAAGAAAGATGTACCTAGAAGGAGAAGACTAAATAACGGAAGTTAGATGATTATATTCACTGTTAACTGTTTTAGTGCACGAGTCAGTCTCAGAGACATGATTAATATGTATGAGAATCATACTGATGATACATGTTTAGCATTATATATGTTGAGTATATGTTAAAATGTAATGAATGTGAGATTTTGAAATATGAGAATTTACAGTAAAACCCATCTAAAATGAACTCCTATTGGACAGAAAATTTGGTTGTACTAGACAGTTGTTTGGTTAGATATTTCTACAGGTATATTCATTGTTTATCTTGATATGCCAGTTCAAATAAGACGGGGTTTTCATAATGACAGGTTTTACTGTAATTTATTGTCCATTAATTATTGAAAGTAGAATTTGATATTAAAAAATATTTCCCATTATGTTAAACAGTCTGTGATGTTCTTATGAAAGTTAATTGTTCGCTGTTTAGTGTTAATTGTTCTCTGTTAAAAGACAAATGCATTAGTATTTACATTGTTAATCTGTTAATGGCTTCAACATGATCAAATCAGACCTCTGACCTTGTGACCTGACGTCTTATTATTTTTAGGACCTGTGACCTTTAAAAATATTCAAAACCTTGAATCAGATCAGTTTATTACTGTAAATCTTGCTTAAAAGTGACTTTGTGACCAAACCTGGGGGTACCCTTCTGGAGCCTCTATTATCTTGTTTTACTTACGTTTAACTTAGGTATATATAATGGCCAGTTGACTGTGATTTTTAAAAGTTAAATGTGCAAATGAAGAAGATTTTATTTTACAGTAAATAAAATTGAAATAGTGCTGTTTTAGGTTTATGTTAAATACTATTACATTTTAATAAATATATCCCTGTGATGTAGCTTACAATTGTCATATTATCAGTCCATGAATGTTGTGTTGGACATAGTCATATCATGATGCTACTTAATCAAATGGATTAGCATCCCATTAGAAAATGAATAGCAACATGTGATTTGTTATTGTGTTAGCCAAATAAATACTGATATGTTAGCTGTTACTATTTTTTTGCCAAAGTTTCTATATTGTTATGAAAAATTATGACATTATAAAAATAAGGAGATGAGGTATGATTGCCAATGAGACAACTATCCACCAAAGTTCAAATAAAGTGGATGAAAACAATTATAGGCAACTGTACGGCCTTCAACAATGAGAAAAACTCATACCATATAGTCAGCTAGAAAAGGCCCGACTTGAAAATATGAAACAATTCAATTGAGAAAACTAACGGCCTAATTTATAACAAAACAATTAACAAAAAACAAATATGACAGACATGAACCAACGACAACCACTGAACTACAGGCTTCTGACTTGGGACAGGCACATAAAGAAAGTGGCAGGGTTAAACATGTTTGTGAGCGCTCAACCCTCCCTTAACCTGGGATAGTGGTGTAACAGCACAACATAAGAACAAACTATAAATATCAGTTGAAAAAGGCTTAACTCATCAGATCGATAGAAAACAGAAAAGATCAAACATAATCACAGACCGGACGTGGCAAGGTATTTATTCCATATGAAATAAGTTTTTTACAGGTACAGCCAAACTTGCAAACCAAATCTTTGGAAGAATTTAGTAAAGGTTTTAAGTAATTTGTGGTAACGAAATCCCTGACTTAATAATTTACCAGTAATACATATATATAGATTACGCTAATTGAAATCCAAAACATCACTACAGACACTTAAGATGGTGCCAGAGGAACATCACCGTCCAAAAAAGGAAAATTAACAATAGGGAAAGAAAAATCATCCCTTTTGTCGAAAATGTTTGTGTCGAGTTTCTGGTGTAAAACAAATATCTAAATCTAGGAAAGGACACTTATTGTTGTTAATATTTGATTTATTAATAGAAAGTTGCTTGAACAGGATTTCAAACTGGTTGGCTCAGTATAAGGAAATTGCCTTCTGTATAGTCATAAGAATTATACCTTGAAAATCTCAAAAGTTGGTAAAAAGCCAGTGGTATACTTTCATTATGCCCGACGTATCAAAGTTGCTTTAGATCTAATGTTTTTGACCCATCTGTTCTTCAGTTAGTTTGTCCATCAGTCCGTCCATCCATCAGTCCCGCCATCCGTTAATCTGTCATCACAAATCCTCTGAAACCACACAACAGAATTTCATGAAATTTTGTAGATAATATCATGTAGATGTGCATATCGACAGAAAATGATTAATTTTTTTTCTAGGAGTTATGCTCCTTTGAACTAAGAATTTGGCCTAAATATACTCCTTTCACAGTTTGTCATCGCAACGCATCTGAAACCACACGACAGAATTTCACCAAAATTTGTAGATAATGAGGACATTCTATATGTAGATGTGCATATCGACAGGAAATTTTATCAGTTGACTTTGTAGGAGTTATGTGTCTTTGAACTTAGGAATCAAGTGAGATTTTGTTTGTCCAATGACAAAGTGGGGGAATGTAAGAGTGCTCACAAAGGTTTTTTGATTGCTTAATGTGTCTTTACATAATCGGAGTAGGGCAATAAGAATATCATTTCGCCCAAATATTATTTTGAAATAAAAAAATTATCATATTTTTCAATTTGTCTAAACAATACTGAGGTACAAGGTGTACAGGTAAGATAAAAACGAATTTCACATTTGAAAAGTTACCATGGAACAAACCATGACAAAATTTGTATATTTTGTAACATTTCTTAATTTTTCTTGTTTTACATTTACTTTTTTAAAGTATATTTTGGATTGGAAAGATATGTGCACACTCAACACACAACTTTATATTTGGTGAGGTCATGTAAATAGCTAAAATAAATCTTCTCCAATCATATGTACATAAATGTACACAAAAATTGAAACTGAACAAGGACAAATCACGAACATTTACAAATTGTGGTTTATTTTGTTGCAATGATAATTCTTAAAATGTGAAATTTTGTCCCCAAATGCTGTACCATTGTACCAGGTGAAGGGTACTAAGTTCGAGTGCTCACAAATGTTAAACACGATCACATTCCTTATTTGTCTGAACAAAGTCAAAAGCATGTTATTCAGTGGTCCTTATCGGAACGTAAAACAAAGTCAAAGCAAGACCAAATTTTCGAGGAATGTCTTGAAAGAACTTTTTTTGACATACTATCATTTTAAAAGGGACCAAAATTGTTATGGATAGAATGTGCTAAGTTTCTGTGTACACTATAGTTGAAACATATCTATGATCAATACATCAATGAGCGTCCGCTTATGGCTTTATTTATTAGTATTATAGGTCACAGATTGCCACTTCCCGGCCCACCAACATGCGACACATGAGGAATATGATCAAAGACTGGTCGGCTTGGAGTTAAAATAATTTTTGCGTAGGGTGACACATCTCATGTGGATTGTTAACCAATTTGATAATCTGACTCTGACTATCGGTTAAGTATAAAGAGATATCTTCATATAACATGTAAACATATGGACGTGTATGTAATATTTGCCGCTTGACGCTAATCAATCGACTTTTCTGACCAAATTGCATGAGAAAATATTGCAAACTATGTGTCTGTCTTCTAAAAATTATTGGATTGCTTGATTAATGACTGCTTAACCAGTGTATATAAAGTGCGAATCCAGTTAGTTCATTTTCACTGTTGTATGCGAGTATGTCTATTGTAGAATAAAGGATGATGGGAAAAACTGCGTTTTTTTTACTTTTTGAAAATACAAAATAAAAGATTTGAATGTATGTTTAACAGAATTTCATTAGAATATAACTTTTTAATGTATAATAACAGGATTAAAGTCCAAAAAAGTGATATTTAAGCAGCAGAATCCATAATATTGATTACTGAATGCGATTCATGTTAACTGTAGATGCGATGAATTATCAATGTAAGTGCAATCATTTCTGATGTGGAATTTGGAAGTGCGATGAATTTTCATTGTCGTTTTATATGATTATTCGACATACAACAACTGAAAATAGTTTTTTTAATGACTTAAATATTGAAGATATTAACCTTTTGAAATGCAAGCTAGTCGTAGATGCTTACTTGAATATACACGGGTATAACCACGTTCATATCATGAATATTCAAATATTGTTGCTATTAGCTTGTCATGGATCCGAAAATTTACTGGAGCAGAACATCCATGAATATAACGTTTTTCTACGCCGTGTCATGCATATTTCTACCGTATTGATATATATAGGCTTTTGCACAACGAACAGTACAAGAATGTTCATCGAACGGTACTAAAGAAAGAAAACAAACTAGAAAGAGAATGAATCGTACAGTGTCAAAATTCTGAGGTCAGTTTTTTAAGTAAATTTCTTCAAATGAAATTAAAAGAACGGGTTTCTCATTCGTATTATGTATTTTAACAACAACAAAACACAAAATACACGGTCGCATTCAGTGAAAGAGCCAACCAACTATGCTCTATTTGTAGTTTAATCAAGTTTGAGTTACACATAGTGTTTGTTTCGCGATGTTTACAAGTAATTCACAGACCTGTCTAGTTAAAATAGTCACATGGTGTTCATGTAATATAAATGATATACAATGCTGCCAGGAGCAGTAAACTTTGTTTTCATAAACATTGAATACTTAACTGAACAGTTAGTCAATTAGTCTTTGGTGTAAATATAAGAACTGAATATCTACCAACAATGCTTCGCGATGAAGCGATTAACGTCCGGAATCAACTGTACGGCGGTTATACCCCGTGGTATAGAACCATTTAAACATGCAACAATAATCTGTTTTTAATATTTCTTTGTATTCTCACAATTGCGTATTGGCTTATTTGTAACACCGACTTATACGAAATTCAAGCATATTTAAGGTAACTCGACTGTTGCTGAAACTTTCATTACTGTATAAGATTTATACACAATGGCATGATAAATATCAATTATATCCAGTCATCCAAGTGTCGATTGTTTGTGCAAGATGAAAACGTTTCCACTCATTCAATCGTAACATGAAGATCGTTTTGTGAATGCATCCATTAGAGCTATTTTCCTAACGCTTGTACTTTAAAGGTTTGGTTGGCTTGCTTGCTTGCTTTGTTTGTATAAACGTTTGCTCAATCTTAATTACAATGCTTAGGCAACATTTACACAATCAAGGCCAACCACACATTTTAACTACAAGCATTAGGAAATTAGCTCTAATGACATTTAATTTATTAGTATGCGATGTAGATTTAGACCGAAACAGAAACTTTGATTTTCCGGTGACGTTGATTGGCTTAACTGTCCAAGATATATGTATAAGATGATGACGTGTCATAGGAAAGAATAAATTTTATCCTACATATAGATCAGGACAAATTATTTGAGAAAATAGAATTGACTATATTAGCAATAAATATCATGTTTAAGGAATTTATTGACATATTACCTCAGACTTTCACTCATTAAGTATGCATATATAGTCAATCCTTCCGACTTCATAAATTTTGTTAGAGAGTCGGCTGAATTAAGACTTTAAATAATGAAAACAAATTAATTTCTTTGTGTGAAAATGCATCGTATATACAATAGAAATGAATCGCCCTACAGTGAAAATGAAAGTCTAGTATCATTATTCGACAGTAAACATGAATCGCATAGCGAAAACAGCATAGTGGAATTTGATTCAATATCAACAAGCTGAATAACAAAACCTTTTTTAAGTTAAACAACATTAATAATTATGTTAAAAGGTACATTTTTTCTGCAAATGAAACTTAACTGCTACTTCTAAATCTCTTGCACGCTCTGTTCGTGAACTATTCTTAATTTTTATCTATTTGTGTATCAATTTTGCACCTGGATGGCTGTAGGCGCGATGAAAACCCGTCAGCATCTCATACCTATATCATGAATTTATAAAAACAGTACTTTTTATTCAAAAATCTTGAATTTATCGTCTTTTTATTTATCATTCTACATCAGAAATTCATCATGGATACAGTAAAAATGACATTTTAGGATTCGCACATTACATACACTGTTAACATTCAGCGACAAATATTGCAAATTCAGTACGATGTTGAAAGATACGAACTTAAAACATTATTTGTTCATGAGAACGTTTAGCAAGCTACGATCAATCAATACTGTATTCATACAAAAACAAGGATACATCTGAATCTTTTATAATTTTGGTCTATTATAATAATCTTCCCAAAGGATTCAATTATGGATATTGTGAAATTCAGCAGCAAACAAACTCAAACAAACACAAAAAACCTCCGCAGAAACCATCAAATTGCTGGACTAACTGACCATATGCACGTTAGTTGAATTTGTTTGGCTGCTCTTTTCCAACAGACATTTGGTATTTCCATTGAGGCCACTTTCAACATTGTTGGCTATTCCGTGGCGGTCAGTTTTAATTGCGGAGGAAGTCGGAGTGCCTGGAAAGAACCACCGACATTCGGCTGGAAAACTGCCAATCCTAGTCAATTAAGATTGGAGTCGAACGCACCTGCCACGTGCGGGGTTCGTTCTTACAACCTCAGTGGTGACAGGCTAGTGATATAGTAGATGAACCACTTAGATAACTCGGCAACAGAGGCCCCTGTAATCATATAAAACATAAGTCAAAGTCATACAGAATATTAAAAGAGCTAAATTTTTATTTCATTTTCTGACACATTGATGCTGCTCTTTCATTATTTTGGTTATGCAGGATGTATGAATACGCAGTCATGATCGGTCTGAATGGGGACGAAAAATCCGATGCCTTGTATAGGAAGAATGTTGCCTTCTGTTAAAGAACCATTGCAACAACTCTCACAGGTGTTATTAGGTTTTCTGTTGCATGTGAAAATGTCTGTCTTAATCTAACATGCCATTCATGTCTTGTAGCAGTCTAAATTTTTCACCTTTCATCCCGGTCAACCTGCATTGATTGTTAAATTGTTCTCGTCCTGAATATGCATGGAATATTAACAACTGGATGTTAAGCAAGCACAAATCAACCAATACTCCGTTTCTTTTACATATAAATCACTAGAATTTAGAATTGAACATTAATAACCTTGGAAAAAACGAATGAAAATTTGTATTGAATATAGTAACAATATCTGATGAAAGGAAAACAAAATTAACACTAGTAAAGTACATGTAGGGACTGTCTAAAGCAACTGGAAAAAAACTAGTTATGTTTATTTGAAAAAAATATTAAGCAGGTGGTACATTGTTTAAAATTAGGCAATTGCATAACAAATGTGTTTTGAAGCGTAGTTGCTTACATGTGGTAATTAAAACTTTCATACGAAATATTATTTTTTTTTAATAAAAGAAACAAAACACCTTTTATAAATTGATGCAAACACTTTTGTATGTTTTGTTAATGAGACGATGATAACGCGATTACTGAAATATAATTCTTCTGCTCAGATTTCGGAATTAGATACTTTAAGTTTTAATTTTGAATTATATTGAATTGTTATGCGCTTTAAATTATATACTTTCATGTCAAAGTAGGTATAAATAAACAAACAAATGTTAGATAATTATAGATCATATTCTTAGAAAAGGAGAAAAGCTGAGATGATAAAAGTAAAGTAGAAAAGGCGAGAAGACACTAGGTAAACTCATTTTATTGTTATTTTTCTAGACACAAATGAAATCATTTAACTGTTTCTTCTTGACAGTTTAGTAACCAGAGTTTTGTAACGAGAATGCTTAATAATACTATATATGCTTAATCAAAACTTATTTTGAGTTACGATCAAATTTGTATATATAGCATATATACTTAATATAATGTTTTATTGCGTATACATATAGATTCTTACATTGGTACCAATGGATTATCGGATTTAACTATCGAGATTGGATAAATCCGACAATCCACGAGTAACTATGTAAGAATCTGTTTCTCTAATGATTATCAAATAATTTTTCATTTTTGATAAACGAAAATCCCTTTCGAGTGCATTCCACATTCCACAAAGTTGTCAATTTCATTAACACCTGTTAGCACATTTTGATTCATCCAGTGAGCTGATAAAGGTTATGACCCTTAAACGCAATCAATCATCTCCAGAGATCATCGCCAACACACGTTGCCTGATTTTTTTAAACAATCAATAATGGACCGTTGGTTTACCTGTTTGAATGGTTTTAAACTAGTCATTTTTGGGGCCCTTTATAGCTTGCTGTTCGGTGTGAGCCAAGGCTCCGTGTTGAAGGCCGTACTTTGACCTATAATGGTTTACTTTTACAAATTGTGACTTGAATGGAGAGTTGTCTCATTGGCACTCATACCACATCTTCTTATATCTGTTAAATGTCCTATCTTTCCATGTATTGCTAATAAATATTTTGCCCGCTAACCCCTACTTTTCTTTTCATCAATTTATTACATATAGTTTAAAAAGCCATATTTGAAAATCTTATAAAATCCTTGTTATGTTTTCATAGTTTTTGAAAGATAAAGGCGGCGCTAATGTTAAATGTGAAAAAATCTAGAGAGAGTCATTTCCCGCCAAATTTTCAATGGCTTATATCTCGAAAACAAGTGCAGGGACCCTTCAATTTTTTCTGTCTATTTAGTTCCTTTATTCATATACTTTCAATTCATAACAGTCTTTTAAAAACTTGTTATTTTGAAACAGAGTAGCGAACATCCTTAACCAAGCACAAATCAACCAATAAACCGTTTCTTTTACATATAGATCACTAGAAATTAGAATTGAACATTAAAAACTGTGGAAAAACGAATAAAAATTTGTACTGAATATAGTTACAATATCTGATGAAAGGCAAACACAATTAACAATTAACAATAGTAAAGTACATGTAGGAACTGTCTAACGCATAACTGAAAAAAACTAGTATTATTATATGAAAAAAAGTTGGCCAGCTGGTACATTGGTTAAAAAGTCAATCGCTAAACAAAGGTCTTTTTGAAGCGTAGCTGATTAGTGATTTAAATCTTTCATATGAAATATAAGTTTACACCAATAAAAGAAACAAAACACCTCTGATAGATCGAAACAAACATGTTTTCGTATGTTTTGTAAATGAGACAATAATTAGGCGATACCTGAATTGTAATTGTTCTTCTAAGATTTCTTAATTGGATACTAAAAGATAGTTTTAGGTTATATTGAATAGTGATGCGCTTCAAAGGATATATGTTCATGTCAATGTAGGTATAGATAAAAGTTTATAAGTAATATAGACCATGATATTTTTTATTTCCTAGATAAGTAGGAAAGGTGAACTGATACAATTAAGGTAAGAACATATTCTTCGAAAAGTAGGAACATGTGAGAAAATACCAGCTTATTCCTATAAGAAGCAAAGCAGACCGTTGACTGATTTACGAGGTCAGACCATATTCTTAGAAAAGTAGAAAAAGTGAGAAGATATATTCTAGGTAAACTTATTTAATTGTTATTTTTCTGGACAGAAGTGAAACCATTTAAACTGTAGTTTGACTATTAGGTAACCAGAGTTTTGTGTCAAGCATACATGAATAATACTTTATTATGCTTGTAGGGGAATCTGCCGAGGTGTGGCGATGGTGTCAGTGACCTGACTAAATTAAGTTGAATTATTCGTTTCCACACCTTTTTCAACCATCAATGACGATATGATTCCGCTTGAATATTTGGTCTAGGCCAATTTAAATTTTGATATGTATAGTTAGAAGGTTTTAATGTCATAACAGGGGTGTACAACATGATATTCCATCATATAAAGCACAAAGATTATGTAAAAAATGCACATTGGATAAAGTTGAAGATGAATAACATTTTATATGTCAATGTCCCATTTATAATCTCTTGAGAAAAGAGTTATATGATAAAATTTTGATAAGTTGTAAAAATTTAGAGATTTTAAACACCAGTGCCAAGTTTAATTAGCTTTTTATTAAAGAAAACCTAGAGGTATTAAAAGTTATTGCAATTTATATTAATAAATGTTTTGAACCGAGAAAACTATCAATATAGTACATATATGCTTATATATATATATATGTAACCCATTAAGAATATTTGCCTGTAAATATTATATACATAATTTCAATCGGTTGATTTTAAGAATTAGAATGAAATTATTTTCTTCTGATTTGTCTGCCCATAGGTGACGTTTTTAGGTTATGTGTTTTATGTGATTTGGCGGTTAAATCATTTAGCACGACAGGGTCTACTCGATCGGTCATGTTAATTGTTCTAGTTGTGTTTATCGATTTAAGTACATTCGAATTTAGTCATGTTTAACCCCGTCGCATTTTGCGCCTGTCCCAAGTCAGGAGCCTCTGGCCTTTGTTAGTCCAGTATGTTTTTTACTTTTAGTTCATTTATATGTTTTGGAGTTTAGTGTGTCGTCCATTTTCACTGAACTAACACACAATTTTAGTTAGGGGCCAGCTGTTGACCACCTCCGGGTGCGGGATTTTCTCGCTGCATTAAAGACCCATTGGTGGCCTTCGGCTGTTTTCTGCTCTTTGGTCGGGTTGTTGTCTCTTTGACATATTCCCCATTTCCATTCTCAATTTTATGGATAATGAAGGTGAACCAGATATCTCGCTGAGAACTGTTTTAACTGCTGTAAATCAACAGAGTAAAGATATCGAGGCAATTATTGATGCTAAAGTGACGGAGAAAATTGGTGGATTAAGAGAAGGGTTGCAGGGTGCCAACCAGTTGATGAAATCCCAGGTTAAGAAACTTAAAACAGACGCTTCCTATAAATGGAAATACGAAGGTAATAAGATCCAATTTGACTTTAATACTAGTACTGAAAATCTCGAGGATCTTGTTCAGACTTTGTGGGCTATAGACAATGGGAAGGTAGATTACGCACAAGATTTGTTATCATCTACCGTAGAGAAAATTAAGTTTCATGTGGACCCTTTGGCAAAAATGGCTGCATTTTCACCTTGTTTAGCTTAAAACTTTAGAAGACATTGGTGAAGCTGACAACATACCCGCTACAACATCATTTACTGATGATGTGACAGAGTTCTGGGTTGACGGATATCGCTTTCTATGGAACCACTACTACACTGAAGGACCTCCCACCACCAATCACCTGGAAGGATGGAACATCAAAATTAAGAAGAGACTCCAACATGTCAACCTCAGCATGTACTACATCACTGAGTAACTGAAGAAGACCCAGGTACTGACAGAATGTAACATTAGCCAGTATGCAGCAGGAGGAGCCCGCCCACTAAAAAAGACGCAGATACAGAGTAATTGACACCAGACTCCAACTACTGAAAGACAGATACCAACAAGGACTCATCGTGATAGACTACTCTGACGCAGAATCACATCTTTTCCATTTGAACTGAACAACTTCGTGAAATATTGTAATTACTGACTTTGTGAATATATTGTTTTGTGACATTTGAAATATATATATATATAAAAAATTGCATTTCCCATCATTATACATATAGTGCCCCATATTACTTATTTTACCATATAGCTTTATTTTTTTCCTTATGCAATGCATTTATATAAACTTGATTCATATATTATATAAATTATGATTGCAATAAAAGACAACTTGTATTGATGTATTTATATGAAAATCATTCAAAAACTGTGGAATTATTAAGACACTTTTATAACTGAATGTCAATGTTTAATCATTAGTAACTTTTGTACACAAATAAATCGATTGAATTGATATTAAATCATTGAGAGAAAAAATAATTGATTTGTTCATTATTTTTCTATACAAATGAAAATGTAAAATAAAAAATACCCGAATATATAGAAAACACTAATAAACTATATACCCAAGTTGGAACAGACTATACAATTGTATGCTCATTAAACCTTTTGTCTTTTTTGTTTTCTTTACTAATAGATAATTGGTATAATTAAAAGTGGGCAAACCAGGAGTAAACCTTTCCATCTTAGTTTTATTTAGCACCTTCTGGAGGAATGTAAAAAAATGCACTGCAAAATCAGGCTAAGTTTTTAATTTTCTAAAACATAAAATATATTTGAAATTTATTTATCTAGGGCATGCTGTGCCTTAAAACTTTCTCAGATGCACAGTTTTGGCTGCACTCAAAGTAAATTTTGAGGTGAAAATGCAGCCACTTTAGACGAAGGGTCCACATGAACCTTAAGCATCGTAACAAACTCATCAAAATAGCTGACACTTCCGAGGGAGGTTGGGATACCACCAGGCAATACGACGCTAATCCTATTGCAAGTGATTCTGAGGATGAAGTAAAAATTATCCGAGCTGACAATAGAGCTGTCCGCAAGAAGAAAGGAAAGGCTAAGCAGGTTAGAGGAAATGGTTCCAAAACTAAGGCTAACAATCAGTCTCTATTAGGACAGGTTCCAAACTTCGTTCCGCAGCCCTTTCGTGTGCCTCAGCAACCTTGGTTCAATGGAATTCCCCTTCAGCAAGGTTTCAACGCTGGAAAGATGCAGAGGGGACAATGCTACTCTTGTGGGTCCTACGCACACTACAGGTCAACAGTAGTAAACCAGCCACCAAGACCAGGCCGCAGTGAATTTTTGAAAGGCATTTTCTGGAGAATTGCCGAATCTACCTGTCTCATTAGTTAGTAAAGTGAATTTACTTCCAGAATTACTTTCGGAATCTCTAGCAGTTTCTACAACAAAAGGATTTTATCACAGTTTTTTACGATGGAAAAAATGGGCTACATTGAACGGAATTGAAAACGTTGACAATTTACCAAACAAAAGGCTTGAAAGTAAAACAGATGTATATAGAGATGGCAATTCAGTATTAATTGCCCGTACACATTCAAATAAGTGTCCAGTAAAAAACATGGAATTATATTTGTAGTGGGCTGATATTTCTTGCGATTCTGATGAGTTTATTTTTCGAAATTTGACCCAATGTAAAGATGTCTATGTTTTGCGTAGAGAGAATACACCATTATCGTATTCGAGGATGCGTGAGCTCTTTATTGAAGCTTTCAAGCCTTTTGTTCATAACATTCAGCGATATGGCTTGCACAGGTTGAGGTCTGGAGGTGCTAGTGTTTGTGCTAATTTAGGTTTACCAGACCGCCTTTTTAAGAGACACGGTAGATGGCGTTCCGAAACGACCAAAGATGGTTACGTTAAGGATTCCTTAGATGATTTGCTTAAAGTGTCCAAAAATTTAGGGTTAAAGATTTATTGCTTTAATTTTAAATTCTTTTATTGCATGATATAGAACTAACTTTCTTCAAAATTTTCCCGTTCTTTGTGTTTCGGCCATCAGCTCTGTCGTGTGGTATTGCACTTTACTATTTCTTGTTATTATTATTATGAGAATAATATGAGGTTCTGATATATGGGTATTAACGGAAGAAGAAATATAATTTCAACCGGTTGATTTTAAGAATTAGAATGAAATTATTTTCTTCTGAATTGTCTGCCCAATCTTTTAAGAGTGTAACCAGAACCATTCTTTCCTCGCCCTTTTCTTTCTCTTTACATCGTTTAATAATACCCCAAACATGCTTAAGACGGTCTTATTGATCCTGATTAAGTTAACAACGTGGGAATACTTAAGAGTGAAAATAATATTATGGTTCAGTGCTAAAGACCACGAAAACCGGATTTTAAACAAGAGGATATACCCCACCACCTTTGCAACGGGAAAATTTGACATGACCGGTTTATTATCGGTGCATTTTCATTGGTTATCAATTTATGAATAAAGGAAAGATGTCATTCATTTTCGTAACCCCGAACAACGATGTTTTATAGTTTTAGTGGAAATTTGAGGATCATTTCAAAAGAAACATTGGTGTGATTCCCAATAAGACTACATGACGTAGAATTTAACAACTATATGTCATCGTACGGCCTTCACCAATTAGTAAAACCCATACCACATAGTCAGCAATATTAGGCCCCGAAAGGAAAAAATGTAAAACTATTCAAACGAGAAAACTCACGGCCTGCCTTATGAACAACACAATATACTGAATAACGGGCTCCTGCCTTGGGAAGTATTATAAGACAGTGTTTTAACTTTATTTTTAATTTGAGGATAAGTATAAATTAGAGAATGTTTTGAAGTTTTTGGAAAAAAATGAGGATAATTATATATAAGACAGTATATTATAGACTTTGGGGGGAATTTGAGGATCAGTATTTATAGGACAGTATTTTATTTATCAAGAAATATCGGAATATTCATACCGTTTATTCCGTTAAAATGCAGTTTTTCAAATTCTTTCACGGAATAAACTGTACTGATAGATCGATATATAGTAAGTGATTGTGTAAGTTTTGGTGGAAATTTATGGATCAGTATATCCTAGTTTAGCGGGAAATTTGAGGATCAGTATATATGAGATACTATTTTATAGCTTTGGGAGAAATTTGTGGATCAGTATATATAAGACAGTTGTTAGAAATGACAATAATTTCTTTAATAGTTTAGTGTCTAAAAAGGTCTCTTTTGTGGAGTATCAGGAAAAAAATTGGGCTTGGTATTATTATGGGGTGTTAGAAGATATAGCCATAAATCATATATGCTAACTTGTCATTCCGTCGCAAAATCATGAAGATTTTGCGTCATGGAATAAACGTCTTGTAAAATTATCTTGATTTCTTCGCATGTTAATTATTAATCATATGTAAAACAAGGGTCATTTACATTCAAAGAGTAGTTAAGGGGTGGGTAGAACCACACTTACATTAAAACGTGTTAAGTAAGATTCGTGCTACGCTCGTAAATTCTTAAGTTGATGCAAAGAGTTCCTACTAAAGGACAAAAAAATTAAGATGTTCTCGAGTTACCTGAATTGATAAGTTTATGATAAGGGGATGCAAAGAATTCCCTTAAATCCGTAAGAATTTGAAATGTCCAAAGGGCTGTCAATCATTCTAAGATTGATATATGATTGCTTCTTGTTAAACTCTTAGTCACTAAGACAGTCTTAAGATAATCTTAAGAACTAAGAGAGCTTCTTGTTACCGGCCCCTGGTCTGGCTGTGGTTTAAGATCTTAGAATTAAGATGATTATATTCATATTTACACATATGATTATCAAAATTATTGTGTCAATTATCAAAATCATTTTAATAAATTACTTTGCTCCTCATGGGCCCTTTAATTGGAATAAAAATATCTTATAAAGCTTACTGTTCGACCAATCCCTACCCCCCCCCCCCCCCCCCCCCAATAAATAAATAAAAGCAACACGTCTAAAACCACGAAGTTATTTATTTGACGAAATTTCTTGTGTGTGGTCTTTCTAGACTGATCTGATCTGTACAGTTCTTTAGTTTTTTTTTCTTACAATTGCACTGAACGAGTTAAAATGGAGGATTCAAAACCAATTAACACTTCTAATCTAGGCTACCCCACCATATATTAATGTGCCAGTTCCAGAAATCTTGTCTATGGTCGTCGTTGAGCAAAATAATTTTGTATATTTAGAATCTGATTACCCTTCCGAAGGACCTAATATCACCCCCGGAGTTTTGTGGGCTCGTTTGTCTTTTCATCGTTTTTCGTATTTTGCCAGGTCGTTGGCGGTTTCCCTTAATCGTATGAATTTTCAGCTTTTTTTAAAAAGAAACATATGATATGTTATGTTAATATTAGGGACGATTAATATATGAATTAAAGGAGATATCAATGAGACATTGACCCAACGACACAAATAATCAAAACACATCTAGTTCATTATAAGATTGCATAGCTTGACGTATGGAATGGATACTTCTTTATCATCGATGTATTTTGACCTTTTTTATGACCTTTTCCTTAAGTGTGTTGTTGGGTAAAATTGTTTCATCGACAAACACGAATTCTTGACTCCACCAATCTAGCCACAACTGCTATTTTTAAAATTCTATTTCAGGTCAATTAAGAGGGCTTACAATGTCGTGGGATAGTTATATAGACAACCTTATAACTAGGTCAATAGATGCTTTTGGTATTTGTCACGTCGACAAAGCATGTATTATAGGAATAAATGGTCAACTCTGGACGACTGCTGGTAATGCAAATGCGATAAAGTTAAAACAAGACGAAGCATATCATATTTCGAACTGCTTCAAAGCAAAGGATTTTTCTCTATTTATTACATGTGGTATTGTAGCTGAAGGTCGTAAATACTTCTTCTTGAAGGAAGACGATCGGAAAATAGTTTACGCCAAACTGAAAAATCATGGTTCATTGACATTTCAGTGTTGTGAGACCAGTATAGTTATTGCTCATACTGAAGAAGGAGGTCAGCTAGGCACTACAAATAAAGCTGTATATGCTATTGCGAAGTATTTGGAGTCGTTGAATTTTTAGTTAATTTGTTTTCTGTATACGAATCATCAAACACATTTGAAGATTTTCTATACTATAGTTTAAACGGTTACTTCTTAAAACAGTTAGCATATACTCATTTTTACTTGAATAGATATTTATAACGACATTTGTATGTTTTCTTCATTTATTTAAGTTTATATTGTAAATGTATGCAACATACATATTTCAGCTGTTTAATGTATAACCCAGAACTCTAAAGTATACAAGAAATACTTACTTTACCCACATCTATTACAGAATACGTACATAAGCATCACTAGTGGTTATAATGTTTAGGCTTAAATATTAGAACAACACAGTGAATTCCATTGCATTCAGCCATAAGCTGAAAACATTTATTTTTATAATGTGAATATAAGAAGATAGAGGACGTTGATAAGGCAGCAACCAAAAAACACTTTCACCAAAATATACTCCGTCGAATAGGTTTTAACTTTGCATCTTCGATCTAACTTTTATTGTCACTTTTCCAGAATTTTTTTTCAGATCTTACATAGAATATGGGGTCACTTTTTTTAATGCAAATACCAGAATTGATCTCAGAAGAAAGTTTTTGGGACATCAGTTTGAGGATGGCGGGTAACTTCTCCCTTGGTCACCATAAGGTATAAAATTTCGGTAAAAATATCATCAAAGGTACCAGGCTTATAATTGTCTACGCCAGACGCCCGTTTCGTCTACAAAAGACTCATCAGTGACGCACGAATAAAAAAAACCCTCATAAAGTACGTATTGAAGAGCATTGAGGAACACAAATTCCGAAAGATTTTGTAAATACAGCTGAGTAAATATTTTCCTGGTCCTTAGTAAATCCAAAAATTCATAGTTTGTTAAACAGTTAATTTAATTATTTAAGGAATGACTGTAATATTTTTTCTGTCTATGAAGAAATAACCTCAAAAATGTGGTGCACACTGAATGACCCACATAGCCTGTTATTTAAAAGTGTGGACCACATTTTTTTTTAGGTTACTTCGAATAGACAAAAAAAATATTACAGTTATTCCTTATAATTTAATTGTAAATCCCATTTTTAAGGAGTAAATCATGAGAAAAACTTTGATGACGTCACGGTCACATGACAAAATATAATGTCTATGAGCTAATAGACAAAAACATTTCAGCCAATCTGAAGATGTGTTACATCCAAAATTAAATTATCATCATGAAAAGACGCATCAACTTACAAGACCCATGACTGATCATAACTCGGTATACTTTGGATTCATTATCACTCGTGGGATACTTATTTTCGTGGATTACGTGTGTATAGGTAAACCAAGAATTTAAATGTCCAACGAAGTACACATTTTCTAAAAGGGGCATTAGCTGTCAAAATCATGTTCACCGATTTGACCCAAATTCTCATACTAAAACGTATATCCAAATTTCAACAAGTCTGAAATAAACAATTAACAATGCATGTACTCGATAATATTTATCAGAATTTCGTGTGTATTTTAGTCTAGACGCTATCTAATTAACTATCGAGATGACCTCCGAAGACTGCCGACGGTCACATAACCCGATATTAACATAAACATAGATATAAATAGATAGCGACCTCGTGCAATTAGATTTTTCTAGGACTGTTCGATTTCATGTTATAGGTTAAAAAAATAAGTTAATTATCGTTTTTACCTGTATAAGAATGAGTTTTTGTGTATCGAATCAGTCAATCAAACGGTTTACCCTTGTTTCACTTTCAATGTTGACATTCTTTTCCTTTTAATAACTGAACACGCCTAATTTATGCGTAACCAATCTCTAGCTAATGGGTTAAATTGAAGGTCAAATGAATACGGATTCAATGAGGTCGAATTATTCACTTGCAAGTGAATAAATCATCAGCGATGTTTCTTTGCTTATTTTGACAAAATTGAACCAAATTGGCTGCTAAATGCGAATTATTATTTCATTATTTCACTTTTATTAATGATTGAACCAAACTAAATCATAATCTATGTTTTTTTCATATCTCGTAGCTAATGCTCAATTTAAGGGTCAGTATACTGACTTTCACAACCACAGGCTCCTGACTTGGGACAGGCACATATAGAATGTGGCGGGGTTAAACTTGTTAGATGGCACCAGACCCTTTCCCCAACCTGGGACAGTGGTGCAACAGTACAACAGTACAACACAAGAACACACTAGTATACAAATAAAAAAACTGTTACACCACTGTGCCAGGTTAGGGGAAATGGGCGCCTTCAAACTAGTTTAACCCTCATAAAGTACGTATTGATGAGCATTGGAGAACACAAATTCCGAAAGATTTCAAATAGTCGTCTCCTTAGCTCATCTTCCCTAAATGGCTATTATGAGCTATTCTCATCAGTTGCCGTCCGTTACATTTCACAGAAATCTTCTCCTCTGAAACACCAGGCCTATTGCAACCGAACTTGGCCACCATTATTATAGAATACCTTGTTAAAAAATTGTAGTCAATGAATCCGATGGACAATCAACATGATGGCAGCCATGGCGAAAAGAGAACATATAGGTAAATGCAAGAATTGTCTAATATTATTAAAATTGTTATAGATGGTGAAAATCTGTATGGGCCAAAATGGTTGGAATTTCAAGATCTACCTGCTGTCTACTTTGTTCAGAATTGTCAGACGACTACTCATTGGAGTTATTGCTCTAAAATAACACTATCAACACTTTTAAAAAAATATTTTTATCTTTTATCTTGTAAACTGTAATAGATAGAAAGGATCTTTGAATTGTAAAACTAATCAACACGACATTCACTCACAAATAAGTCAAGATTGCCGAAATCCACAGATAAATTTCACAACGGACACAATTATCCGGAGTCAACAAATTCATAACAATCTTAAAAAAAAAACAGAAAAAAACCTACTTTTAATGTTAATGTGAGAGTATCTGATGAATAATGAATGAATGTTTAAATGTGAAATATATCTGTAAAACTCGAGAGTCATTCCCATGACAAACGGGCTTTTATAAGAAAGCCATGGATCGTTAAATCAACTGTAATTTCTTTTTTAATTTTACGTTTTTCATAAGTATTGACAGCAATAAAATATTGAAAAAATATTTAAAACACATCAACTTAACCGAAACGAATACGTGGTGCGTTTCAAAAGATATACATTCCTGTCAAATGTAGGCGTCAAATAATAATATACCGATCAGCATAGATTATACTCTGAGGTAGGTATACTTATAATTATTTGCAAGACAGAATTTATTTTTTTTCAACTGTAGGTTGCATTGCCAATTAAGTAAACAGTATTTTCTGCGCCGAATGTATAAATAAACTATAACGTTAGTTTTCTATTCAGATTTTTTTCATGTCGAGGCCTTTTATAGCTGATTATACGGCATGGGGTTTTCTCATTGTCGGTAGGAAGTGTGGAGATTTTTAGGCTATTTTCTGAAATACAATTATTTTGTAATTTTTGTTATTGCACTCAGTCTGATAAAAAATAGGGATTTCAGTACTAACTCTGGTTAAAACACACTATATATCGTATGTGCCTGTGCAATAAGTTGTGTTTATCATATACTTGTATAAAATATTACTAAAATTTTACAGTTCAATAAGATTTAAAGATATTAAAAGGCTATGAAAGGATTACTAGGTTTATTGATCAGATTCCTAAGAATTTCCTCAGCGGGCTGATAAAGGAACCTTTATTGACTGCTTACGGAATGCTATCACATGCCTTTCCGTTAATTTCCGTGACGTTGTTTATCACATGCAACTTCGTGCATTTCCGGAAATATGTTCGAAAACGACAACACAGTGCGGAAAACTATGGAACGCCACAGCTGTCTTATGTGGAACTCTGATATTACTTTATGTTGTTTTATTATTACTTGATGATATTTTGTCTTTACTTAATATGGTTTTGACATTACGTAATGATGTTTTGATATAACTCAATATGGAATAGTCATTACTTATGATATTTCGATATTACACGATATGGTTTCGTATTACTTGATATAGTTTTGTCATTACTCAATATGGTTTTGTCATTACTCGATGTGGTTTCACCATTATTTAATGTGGTTGTGTCATAAGTCAATGTGGTTTTAACATTACTTGATGTGAATGTGACTTAACGTTATGTAGTTGTTTCATTACATGATGTGGTTTTGTTATTTCGTAATGATGATTTGCCTATTCTTTATATGGTTTTAACATTACGCAATGATGTTTCAAAATTTGACGATTTTACACTACATGATGTGTGTGTTTCATTATTTGATGTGGTCCTGTCATTCTTTGATGTGGTCCTGTCATTCTTTGATGTGGTTATCCCATTACTTGATGAGGTAAAACCACGTGACCAATTCGGAAAAAAAATATGTTCTATTTTTAAACAGATTTCAATATATCGTTTGTTTAATGTGCTTTGGATGGGTATCGCTATCCATTGAGTTAAAGTTCAAATTAAAGTTCGAGTGGTTGTTCAGAGTTATTTGGTATGAAAAAGGGGAACGGCAGACAATAATAAGAAAAAAAGTATTAAAAAGTTTACAGTATTTCGGACATAATTGGGATATCCCCAAACCACTTGTTCCTGTTGTTTTTATCCTAAGTTCTCAAACGGAAGCAGTATTTTTGTAATAAATTTGTAAAATATTCCACGTAACCCTGTGTCTCGCCTGATATTGCTGCTGTAAGTGTAAAAGCGTCATGTTGATCGGCTGTACATTTATCTATACATTTATCGGTTAAAAAAAAAAAGTTTTTCTGTAGATGCTTTTTCTTGAAATTGAGGAATAACTCCTATACAAGTTTTAAAACACTTCATGGAGGTTTACAAATTTATCATGTCAAAACAGTTTAATTCGGTTTTATTTAACTAAAACTGTATGGTTTTCAACAATGAGCAAAACCCATACCCTATAGTAAGCTATAAAAGGTCCCGAAATGAAAAATGTAAAAAACTAGAAACCTAACGATCTATAGATAGATAGATAGATACTTTATTCTCAACATGTATAATGAAAGGTTAAACTCAATAGAAATAAAAAAAAAATGGAGATGGAGACGCCGACGTCACTATCGACGACGAAATATAGGTTTGTTGTGTCTCACTGCCGCTACACTGA